CTTTCTTGCTTGCTTGCTTGCTTCGGGCTCACTCCTTTGCTTTGTCACGCCCCACGTTGGAGATAGAGCCTGGGTCTTGAACGTTTTATCTTTTTTATCTCCGGATGGTTATCGCAAGTGCTGCGTCGGTCTGTGTTTTGGGGTCAAGAAATAGGATGGTTGTGGTTAGTCGAGTCGGACCGTGTCAGCACAATGGACGGGACCATACGATCCCGTCTGCCTATCAACTAATAAAAACTACGACACAAATGCGCTTCTTGACAGATGTGTTTTTTTGGCCCTCTTACTCTTTGGGCGGTCATGGCCTCGTTAGGCTGTTCTGTGGACGCATCTTGTCTTCGTTTCCAGGGCACATGGGAGCACAAGGGAATAAGAGAGGGAGGGGTCACCTCCCCAATTCGGATCTTGGGCGGAGGATTAATGGGAAGCGATTCGCATCCACTGGCGTGCGCAAGCGACTTTGGCGACAGCCCAGCGCTGGGATGAGACAGCAGCTGGGGTCCGATGACGATGTGCAGGCAGTGGGGCCCAGTAGGTAGGAGTACTCGATAGGTGTGTGAGTATGTGAGTGTCTGCTTGTTCCACTTTACCGTGAACAACTATATACGCCCATACAAAAGGTCAGGATGTCAGTCAGTCTTGCCCATATCGATACGCCATCGATACTATATCTACCTAATCACTCACGCTGGTTGAAATAGTGGGGCATGAACACTACTAACTGTAATCTCATGGTGGTGGGGTAATGTAATTATTCCTACAGAGTGTAGCTCAGGTATTCATTCCATGCATTCGCATCCGTCAACACTGGTCATAAGCCGAAACAGTATGAATCAGTAAATACTCCATGGCAAGAAGAGTATTGCCACGGATCACGTAGATCTTGCCCTTGCAGTCAAACTCGGGAGCCAGTCTAGTCAGTCTCACATGGTCAGCTTAGCAGGGCAAACTGAGGGCGGGCTGGGGGGATGGGCGATGGGCATACGTACATGCAGTACCGCCGTGTGGGCAAAACGGACAGGATGGAACGAATGACCTGCATCTGCCTTGCTGATGGCATCATGAGATTCGTGACGAGGCGGGCAGTGCTAAACTAGTGGCGCCTCCCCTCAGCTAAACTACTAACTACCGCCCCGGCTATTCATCCACCCACTTCCTGCTATCTGTCCCCCCATGGTCCGTAAGCGTGGCTGGCCACCATATAGCTACGTATAAATATATATATTTCTCTGCTAATTTAAATGGCAACCTTTACGTAAACCGATTAAGCGCCTATGCCGATTAACCGCGCGTAAATATACGCTATTAAAGCTATAAATCGGCCGGGAATTACGATTATAAGGGTTATTCTGCTATTATATTAATATATAATTATTTATATTGGCGCATAATTAATTATATAGCCCCTTATATATTACGTTTTTAATTTATAATTATTATAAATTATAATATAATATAATTTAATAATAACGCAGTTATTTTAAAAGCTAAAAAAATTAATTTTAATAAAATTAATTAAAAAATAACTTTCGCATTATTAAAATACCGATTTAACGGGTAGTTAATAATGCGCGTTAATTTAGGCTAGCGTAAATTTTGCTTTTAATAAAATGCGATATAGCGCGTTATAATATATAAATAATTATATTAAAAGCAAAAAAATTAATATATACGCGATTTTTTATATTTAGCTATTTCCTATTTTATTACTGCTAAGCTTTTTCCTTTTTAACTCTTTTTTTAATAATATATTCCTACGTATTTATAATAGCCTCCGTTAATAGCTTTATTCCCGATTTTTTTTCCTCCGCCGGATAATGATTTTCGCAGCATTTAAAATAATATAGTTTATTATAAAAATTAGGCTAAAAACTATAGCTTTACTATTATAAGCAATAGCTTTAAAAATAAATTAAAAAACGAAGATAAAACCGTAAATTATTACGGTTTTCGCTATTTACGATTTAGCTATATTAAACGGGATTTTAATAAAATAATATTACGCTAAAAAATTATTATAACTAAATGCGGCTATCCTTTTTATAATATTTTCCGATTTAAAAAAGGGAAATATTACGAAAAGGTTATTATTGCAAAATATAACTACGAACTAGCTAAAATACCAAATAATATCTCGGCTAACCGTAAATTAATTACCGGTAATATAAACCTTATCCGGAGTTATGCTATTTAATACGGCTATATTATTAAATAAACCTTTATTTATTTACGCATTACCTATATTAATATATTTGTTATTTATAATATAATAAAAAATTATATCGCGCGGTTAAAACGTAAAAAGCTAAATAAATTTATAAACGTTTAATATGTATTAAAAAAGCTTTAAATAAATAAAGTATATTACGTTCCGTAATATTTGCATAATAATAATAGCACGAAAACCCTTAATAGGCTATTTTAGTATTTTTAAAAAAATATTTAATTTTAATAAAAATATTTAGAAATTAGCGTTATAAATGCGATTTATAAAATAAATAAATAAATATAAATTATACTTATTTTATAATATATTATTTATATATTTTAAAATTTGGCATATTTTTTTTAATTTAACGGATTTACCTGCCTCGGTATATATTATACGCAATATTATACGATTATCCCCGACGAAACGTTTAATACTTTTAATTAGGTTATAAAAAATATTAAAATTATTTAAACGGCTTATTAAATCCCTAATCCCATTATATTTATTACGGATTTCGATTACGCATTATATAATGTGATCCGGGAGATTTAGATTAGCATTAAATAATAATTATACTTTTAGCATATTATAAAAAACGTTAAATCTAAAGTCCTACGCAAATAAACTAATAATAAGCCTTTAATAATAAGGGAAACACTCTAATTAAAATATATAATTTTTTTTATAAATAAAATCGTCGTTTTAAATAATATAAGCAAAAAAACGTTAATAGCGTTAATTTATAAGCTTAAATATTTAGGAAAAATAATTGCAACGGATAAAAAACGGGCCTAAAAAAGATAGCTAAAGAATAAGCCTATAATCGATTACGATTATAATAAGATTTTATTTTTATAATCTTTTATCGTATATACCCGCATTATTATAAAAATAAAAATATATTAAAATAACTTTATTAAAAAATTCGCTAAATAAAAGGTTATTATTAAATATTTTCGTAATACCTATTAGGTAAATAAAGCAAAATAAATATATAATTTAATTTATAAAATCAGGAATTACGGCATCCGATTTTTATAATTATCCGAGAATGCTTATAATAAATTTAAAAATATTTTAAAAAAGCCTAACTAATTAATTAATATTATAATAAATATATTAAAAGAGCTTATTGCGCATAAAGTTAAAATATATAATAATAAAGTCGGAAAATAGCAAAACCGGACGCTAACTATATTAATTATAAATAATTTATTTATTAACGAGCAAATTCGAACCTTTATTTTTAATCGGGCGTTTTATATATTATTACCCTAGGTATAAAAAGCATACCACGCTTTGCTATATAATCGAGTGCTTAGGTAATATACGCGTATATTTACCACCTAAATAAATATACCTTATACCTATTAATTAATCGAATATTATTTTAAAGCCTTTAAAATGTTTAATATAATAAATAAAAAGGTTATTATAAAAAAGGAGTTGAAATTAAAAGATTTTAGCTTATACTAATATTTTATCCGGCCGCTATTACGCTTTTAAATTAATAAGTTTTCTAATATTCGGAATTTTATTATCCGGTTTAAAAAAAGGCAAAATCCTCGGCGGGTAGCATCTAAGGCATACACTTATATTACGAATAATAAAGCAAAGCTAATAAAAAAATTTACCTTTAATAATAGCAGCCGGGATAAATTTTATAACGAACCTCCCCGATGGCCGATACCGATTAATAAAGAAATTAAATAATATATGCTTGTTAAAAAAAATGCTCGGGTTATTATTTTTAATCCGGATTAAGGGCCGGATTAAAAAGTTTTTTATATACCGATTTAAACTCCGCTTTTAGCGCAGCCGCCGGCTAATTTATTATATTTTTAAGCCCGGCACCCTAAAAAAAAATAAAAGTTAATAAAAAATTTATTATCCGATTTAAAGTAAAAAGATATAAAAAAGCTAACGTTCGGATTAGCCCCTTAAATTAGCTTAATATAGCCTATTATATATATAAAAATCGTT